TACAATTCTTACTGCTACACCTATTACTACTAGGACTAATAGTTATATTGGAAGTATTAATATTATTATTATTATTAGTAGTAGTAGTGACATTAGTAGTATAATTATTAGTCCTAGTAGTAATAGGTGTAGCAGTAAGAATTGTAGTATTAGTAATAGTAGTAGTAGAAGGACTTGTAGCAGTTGCAGTAGTAGTAGCAGTAGTAGATGTAGCAGTAGTACTAGACAGGGAAGTTGTAGTAGTAGTAGTAATAGCAGTAGTTGTGGTTGCAGTTGTAGTAGTAGTAGTAGTAGCAGTAGAAGGAGCAGTTGTATGAGTAGTAGTAATAGTAGCAGTAGTAGTAGTAGTAGTAGCAGTATTAGTAAGAGTGGTAGTGGTAGTAGTTCTGGCAGCAGTATTTGTTGTAATGGGTTTAGCAGTAGTACTAATAGCAGTAGTTTTATTAGTCGTAGTAATAGTAGTATTAGATATAGCAGAAGTGCTACTAGTAGTAATAGTAATAGTAGTAGTAAATATAGTGGTAGTGTTGGTGGTAGTTCTAGTGGTAGTAGTTGTAGTGGCAGTATCAGTATTAATAATAGTAGTGGTAGTAGCATTAATATTAGTAGTAGACTTAGTGATCCTAGTAGTAGTAGTAGTATTAATATGAGTTGTCTTAGTAGTAGTAGTAATATTTTTAGTAGTAGTGGAATTAGTAGGAGTTGTCGGAGTAGTAATATTTTTAGTAGTAGTAGAGGTAGCAGTAGTAGTAGCAATAGTAGTAGTAGAATTAGTAGCTGTTCAATTAGAAATAGTATTATTATTATGAGTAGTAGTAGTAGTAATTGTAGTAGTATTAGTAGTAGTCGGAGGAGGAGGAGTTGTACTAATAGCAGGAGTATTTGTAGCAATAGTAGTAGTGGTACTAGTATTAGTAGAAGAGGTAGCAGTAGTACAAGTATTATTATAATTGGTATTGGCAATTAAATTAGTGGTGGTGGTAGTAGTTGTAGAAGAAGAAGTAGTGGTGTTAGAAGTAGCAGTTGTAGTAGTAGTACTAGTAATATTAGTAGTGGTATTCGTGGTTAAATTAATGTTCGCATTAGTAGTAGTAGTGTTAGTAGTGCTAGTAGTATTAGTAGTTGTAGTAGCAGTAGTTCTAGTAGTAGTAGTATTAGTAGTTTTAGTAGTAGTAGTAGTAGTAGTAGTAGCATGATTAGTAGAAGTAGAATTGGTAGTGTTACTGGTAGTTAAAATAGTGGTGGTAGTAGTAGTGGTTGTAGTAGCAGTAATCCAAGTAGAAGTGGTTGTAGTAGTTCTAGTGTTATTATTAGTGCTATTGGTAGTTAAAATAGTGGTCGTATCAGTAGTAGTAGTATCAGTAGTAGCAGTAGTAGAGTAGTAGTAATGGTAGAAGTAGTAGTACTAGTAGCAGTAGCAAAGGTAGTTCTAACAGTAGCAGTAATCTTAGTAGCAGTAGTAGTATTAGTAATAGAAGTAGTAGAAGAAGTAGGATTAGTAGTAGTGGTTGGTGTAATAGTAGTAGTAGTAATAGCAGTAGTAAAAGTAGTAGTAGTAGTAGTAGGGGCAGAAGCAATCGTATTTGAAGTAGTAGTAGTAGTGGTAGTAGTAGTAGTAGTAGTAGTAGTAGTAGTGGTATTAATACTAATAATAGAAGTAGTAGTATTAGTAGTATTGGTTGCAGTAGTCGTAGTATTAGTAGTAGTAGTGTTCCTGGTATTAGTTGTAGTAGTAGTAGGAGCTGTAGTAGTAGTGGTAAAAGTAGCAGTAGTTGTAGTATTAATAGTAGGTGCAGTGGTAGTAGTTGTTGTGGTTGCAGTAGTACTAGTGGTAGTAGTAGTAGTAGTAGAAGTGGTAGTAATTGTAGTAGTAGAATTAGTACCAGTATTAGTAGTTCTGTTTGCAGTAGTATTAGTAGTAGTAGCAGTAGAAGTGGTAAGTAATAGTGGTAGTAGTTCTAGTAGTAGTATATGTCTTAGTAGTCGTGGTAGTAGTAATGGTATTAGTAGAATTAGTAGAAGTAGTATTAGTAGTGATAAGAGAAGTAGTAGTAGTATTAGTAGTATGAGTTGTAGTAGTAGTTGTAGAAGTAATTAAAGTGGAAGCAGTAGTAGTGGTAGTAGTATTAATAGTAGTAGTATTTGTATTGGTTGCAGCAGTAGTATTAGTAGTAGTAGTAGTTGTAAATGTAGTATTATTAGTGGTAGTAGTTCAAGTTGTAGTAGGTGTTATGGTAGTATTAGTAGTAGATGTAGTAGTAGCAGTAGTAGTAGTAGTAATACTGGTAGTAGAATTATTATTGTCAGTAGTAGTATTTTTAGTAATTGTAGTAATATTAGGAGTTGTAGTAGCAGTTGCAGTATATCAGAGATATTATTAGTAGTAGTAGTATTAATAGTAGAAGTTGTTGTAGTAGTAGTATTATTAGTAGAACTAGTATTAGTAGTAGTAGTAGTAGTAGTAGTATTAGAAGAAGCCGTAGCAGTAAAAGTAGTAGCATTTGTAGTATTAGTAGTAGTAGTAGTAGTAGTGTTAATGGTAGTAGTGGTATCTGTAGT